CATTTATTTGTATCAAGCGAACTCGATAGTGACTCCAACATGTTTAGGCATGATGGTAAGTCTTGTCAAATGCCCACCTGCATTGACTTCAGGACCACCATCACCAAATGTCACGTGCTGCATAAGCCTAGCTGCGATCACCTTGAGCTCAAATCGAGCCAAATCTTGTCCAATACATTGACGATGGCCACCACCGAATGGAATCAATGCATAGGGATGATGATTTTTATCCTCGCCCATAAATCTTTCGGGATAGAAGAGTTCTGGATCAATTGACCATAACCGAGTGTCTCGCGCGAGAGTATGAAATGGAATGTCCACTTGATCACCTTTGAATAGTTGAGTACCACTCTGGGGTAAGCGATCATCGATAGTCAATGTACGAAGTGTTCCAATAGAGGGTGGAGAAAAACGAAGTACTTCATTGATAACACAATCCAAATAGACGAGCGAGTCAAGACGATCCAGTGACAAATCTTGCCTATTGCTATCACCCATCAATTCTGCCTTGATCTTCTGCTGTACTCGTGGATGTTTACTCATGAGATAAATGAACCAAGTCAGAGCTGCTGAAGTTGTTTCAAAGCCAGCGATTAGAAACGCAAGCATTTCGTTCAATACTTCACTTCGTGAGAGACCTGTTAATGAATAAAAATAAAACCACGCAGTTTCATACGCCAACAATAAGAATGATCATAATTATGATATTTTGTTGAAACAAACGTATTCAATTTCATGAATTTTAAATTAAAATGACGAAGTTGTATTGTACCCGAATAAATACACACTCAAGGGACAATTTTCAAAGGCAAATCTCACCTCTTTTTGCTTCTTCACTTTTCATAGCTTCTGCTTTCTCGTCTTTTTGTAACGAGTTAACGAAAGAAGCAATCAAACATGTTCTTTTTCGTTGTGCTATTGATTCTGGACTTTCGGCCAATTCATGATCGATCATTCGATAGAGGTATCTTTCAATAATTGCCCGTGCTCGTCGATGTTGACGGCTCAGTTTCAAATAGGTGCGATATAGACTACTTGGCATGTAGAAAGCTATTTCGAGTGTACTCAAAAAGTCTCGTAATGCCTGAGTGAGCTCATTCTTTCTTGTGTCACCATCACCATCGAGCGTCTCCAAGTCGTAATCAAATGCAATTAATCCAAAGATTGCAAGTAGAAGATTTTGACATTGTTGGACAATGTCTAAATGCACACGTTGAGTGGGACTAATCCGCCAATTAGTCAATAGTTTGTCCGTGCAATCAACAATTAAATCAAAATTGGAGATGATCTTGCCATGACGAAACAATGGTAGGGTCAGCGCGGCGTGTCGTTTGTACTTTGCACCTAAATATAACTATGGATGAGTTTTCAATCAGAAGAGTGAAATTAACCTTTGAGAGTAATGAGTCCGTCTGGAAGGAGGGCACCGAATTGTGTAATGAACAAATCGCCTTGATCGTAAATATTTCGATGAGTAAAAATATGCTGCACATCATCGACGTTACCCACGATAATAAAACGCCAAGGACCGAGCCAAAATTGAAATATATCACCAAAGCGGTCTTTAAACGATAAGTAAACTTGAACAATAGATTTGTCATTGAACAGTATACCCGTCTGAATCAAATTTCCAAAGAGAAAATGAGGTGCCAAACCAGGTATAGAGTTGTAAAGAGTAAAATATTTTAACTTAAAATATAATACCAATAAGACGACGATAACAAAACTCAGCACGAGAAGCATTTTATGCGCACGATGGAGACACACTGTTGTCGTGGCAAGGCTGTTGATATGATGTCAAAAACACACATAGGCACACATGCTACCTTTTTTTCTGTTCTTTCTTCTATTCGTATATCACATATACACCAATGATAACAACACGAAGTCTAAAGTATATGCGCATGATAGTGATAAACATAAGTGGATACAAATTCTGCTCCCATGTCGATGTACAAGCTAGAAATGAATCAATTCCTAGCGAGAAATAAGCCATCTATTCACAACATTTTTGAAAAGTCTTTCCAAAGGTTCTCGTTCCAGTGACTCGTTCATTTGTTTAAATGTATATTTCTTTTCCATATGGAATCGAATAAAAGTTTGATCGCTAACTCTAGTAGTACTAAGAATGTTAGTTAGAATCTTGAATAGTACTTAGACCTATCGATCTTAAAAAGATCTTTTTGGTTTTTGTCAGATTCATTTTCTACGTGAAACCTTTTGTGGTGACAAATACATTCTTCAGAAAGAATGATCCACCGGTCTGGCTTGACAGCGCTTACGTGGCTTGTCGGCTGGTTCGGCTGATCTACTGATCAATACTGTCATCTTGTGGAGTTCCACAACAGAAAAAAGAGCAGACGGCGTTTTTTCTAATTCCAAATAATTTCTTCAGCTTTTTCTTGATGCTATAATGAAATAGAATTGAGTGACACATTTCTTTTAATATATATGTTCCGTCTGATTTCATAGACTTTAGTAAATTTTGGTTCGTTTTCCGTTGGATTCATATAATCTATCAACAGTTTCTACGTACTTTTTCGTCGATTAAGCAATTCATCAAATTACATTTTAAAATAGATTTAAACAACTGTAAAAATGATTGCAAATACTATAATAAATAGATCTCAATTTCTGACTTCAAGTTGTGTTATTATAGTTTATCTGAACATGATGGTAAAAGACTTCGAATCTTTTTTCTACCAAATGATCATCAATGGTATGAATCGCAAATTCTCAGATGTGTAGTTTGTTTGAAAGTAGTCTCAGTATTGGTTGCACCATTAATTGAACTCAATTAATTTGATTTTAAGTGTATAAAATAGAAATTAATGAATTCTTAAATAAATAAAATTTTCAAAACACAGTTGGATATTTTAAAAATAGAATCAATTTAAACTTACTTCTTTTAGATCTACTACTAAACTATCTTTTGTCAACAGGGACTGGCTATCTATCGTCTTTTGAGAGTATCGGCTCATGTGTTATGAGTGTTGAATCGAACCACGAAGGTTGTGGATGTGAGTGAAGGTGAAGAGAGCATCTACACCCACATTCACACTCTTATTTTGTTTTAAAGAATAACTAAAAGAAAACAGCATACAAAAGTGTATGATGCAGTTTTGAATAAGAGGAAAATGACCAGCCAACTGATGCAAAAGACGGCAACGTATTTTACAATCAAAAATAAGAAACAAAAACAACCGCTTCTCTCGTTATTTCTAACATGTACTCAACAAAGACAGATGGAAACAACAATGCTTTTCATCCAATAATAAAATATGCGATTTAAATATTTGGTATACACGATATCATATATTATGGATTACTGAATATAGCAGATCTATAGAGAGTTTAAATGGATTCCTTTTTATAAATAGTGTTATACTGAATTGGCAGTTGAACGAAGAAGAAAACTTGATTCTAGATGTTCTATATTCCGTAGTCTTTACGTTACGAAAAAGATTTTCATCATAATACTGTTTGATTGACAAGTTTTGAAAATAGCATTACAAAGTATTAGATAACGTTAATGGTGTTTTATTGCTAGAACTAAATTAATCTATTATGGACATATATTTTGATTATTTTTCTAAGTACAGTTTGTGCAACCTTTATCCCTTTATTAAATTCATAAAAAATTATTATCTTCCCAAATATTGTTTGTGTGTCTGTGCATAGGTTTTTTTCTTTACTCATACGTACACTCTACACTCTCGGACGCCATTCGACTTCATATTATGAATATGAGAAGGTCTCAGTCAGATAATGTCAAGCTTGAAAAGATTTCGGTCTATGACCTATCAACAAACATTCATGACTTTTTTAATGAAAATTCCATTGAACAAGGTATTTTCGAAAAATTCCAAATGAATAGTTTTGATGTAAAATTTTGGTGATAAGTAAGTTGATGTTATTCTTGAGATTTTCAATATTTAAAAAAAAAGACCAGCGATTTACAATAAAAGAACACAGCAGTCGAGTCTGCTTGGAAATTCATAATATCGAGAAAGACATGTTCGTTTTCTTAGAAAATTTTAAGGCTATCAAACTTACTTATATATAAAAATTCAGATCGAAACTATTTGTTTTGAATTTTTTTCCAAAAAATTGCTCTCAGGAAGTTTCATTAAAACAGTCATGACTATTTATCAATAGATCATGGGCTTTAATCCTTTAAAGTTTAACTTACTCTTGCTGAGATCTGCCCGTAGCCATAGCATGAGGACGATCGATCTCCAAAAATTAAACATGTTTTCTCGTTAGTTTTTTCTTATTGACTCATTAGTTTGAACCGAAAAAACCTAATCAAACATTAATAACAAAGAATTACTTAGATATTTATTTCAGATTATTGAATTCTTTATTTTTATAAACGGAAAATTTCTAAAACAAATGAGACAAACATCAATGAAATCGATTTTAAGGTTTTCTGTTCTTCGGATCATGTTGATGAAATTGGTGGAGCCAAAGCAATATCATTTTTTTGTTCGAATTTTCTTGAAATCATCAAGTAATTTTTGTGCCAACGCTTGAGAAGCATGATGATATTTTCGTAAATGATATTTTAATGCATTAAGTGGAACTAGATGACGTCGGCATGGTACATTTGATATACTTTGTAGACTATATCCTGGCAAATGAACTCGTCCATTAGTAAAAGGACATTGAACTCTATAAAAATGATCAATTACATCTTCATTTCCATCAAATAACTCTGTTATCTTAGGATCTTGATTATCGGCAACAGCTCGTATTAAACGTTGAGCATAAACTTCTTTTAATTTATGTTTGTTAAGGAAATGTTGATATATTCCGACTCGACGTTTTTTTCCATGTTCACAAAATTTAATAGAATGATTTGCTTGAGTAAGACCATATGCTCCATCAAATGTTAATGGACATTCAGCAAAAATCTTTGAGCGTGATATTCGTTTACGTTTCTTCCGTTTTTTATTTAGATGTTGATCCTGAAAAAAACATAATGAATATTTAAATACCATGTAGAATTCATGTCATAGAAAATGAAACTAATTTAAATGAATACAAAAGACAACGAACCGAGCTTATAATAGGTATCTTATTATGTTGATTTGAATACAGATTTGATGACGAATAAATACTGCATTTGTTATAATTTTGGAATACAGAAAAACATAACAATATCACGAAGGATGAAGTATATGTAAATGTAATATACATGGAAACTTAATTAATATAATATTCGACTGAAAGCAAAATGTTTTGTATTGAAAATAGAACTTGCTATAAGGCAAAGTTTATTAATGAAAATATTTCAATTCAGAAATTCTCTAATTTATGTGTACAAAATTAATTTAAATAGTAAATTCGTATTCTGATTAATTAACCTGAAGAGCAAATCTGTGAGATATGAATATTACATGGATTCGAAAAAGGATAAATACAAACAGAACTGTCGCCATAGAACTTCGTTGATTCAGATTTTTTTTCTGCATAATCTGTATTGAATGTATCGTTTTTATTTTATTTATTGCTGGTATTTTTCTACCTTAACCATTTCTTGTCTCTGGCTAAAACGTGAGGTCTAGAGAAAAATTTTGCCGAGAAACATCAATTTTATGATTCCTAATTTAAACACAAAAGCTTTAAATCAAGTCTCTTAAATGCCAAAATGCTTAGCATTTCGAATCATCTTTAGATACAAGTTTCAGTAGATACCGTACAATAGAATATATATCCGATTGTCCCGAACGCAAAGCTGCAAGGAGAAACAAATATAATTACTTCAATTTTCAGAAAATCTCGTTTGTTTTGGTGATATAGAAGAAAAACTGTTGAATAATGCCAGAATTCGATCTGTTGACTCTAATGTTTTCGAAGCTTGATTTCGTATTTATATAGTGACGCTATTCAGAACATGTTTATTATTGTTTCTTTTTAACAACGCTTCATAACAACAAATAAGAAAATCTATTCTATTTACTTTTAAACAAATTAGAGCAAGAGACGTCTATTTCTCAGTTATACTACTACATTTAATGAATAACTAGACACGAAAAGATAATATTTGATGTTTTAGTTCAAAAATTGATTTTATCGAATCTTTCGTAGATATAATTGTTTTACCTCAGCAGATTTTATTGTTTCAGTAGAAGAAACAAAAAATATGCAAAGAGTTTTCCATCTTTTTTAATAGAAAATACAAAGCTTACTCAATTGATATTACATCAGTATAGTCATGATCGATATACGTTGAATATCCAGCATCTGAAACCAGTCACATTTATTATTCCTGTATAAGCTAAGAAAAATTTTAACTTACTTTCTGAGATTACAGATTCTTCTGTTACATCTAAACATACAAAAAATCATATACTTTGAAGGTTGTTTTAATTCTACAAAAGAACTACATGAACTGATATCCACCATTTGAGCTCATGTTAGGTCAACGATAGAAACCCGGTAAGACTAGAAAAAGCTTGAATAGGACCATGCCCATGAACCGAGTTATGACCGATTTAATGAATTTTCGAGTCATCTTTTGATATTTATTCAAAAATAAAATAATCGAATTTCGATCTGTAATTTCGCTCATTGGTCGATTAAATAACATTTTAGATAACTTGAAATCTGTCGCGAACAACAAATGTTCATTTACCAAGATACTCAATTTGCAATAAATAGGCACTAGCTATAGACATATACAAAAATCGAATTCACTTGGAAATTCAATATCTCGATAAATGGACGTTTTTTTTTCTAGCTGAAACTTTCAGGTTATTCCGAGGACCGTTAGACCTATGTCTATGGACACTTGCAGGTCGAAAATTTAGTAAAACAGTCATAACTTGGCTCATTAGCTACAACTCTTTTAAACTTTTCTAATTTTACTAAGAAATTTTTATGGTGTCAACATGAGTTCAAATGGCGTTTAATAAGTTCGGGTAGCTGCCTCGTTACATACCGGTATCTATGGTTGCATTGGAATGAACAACAGATCTAATAAGAATAAATTCAATAGAAAGGAAAATATGGAATAAAAAAAAATACTCTGCTGGTGAAGGAGTAATCCTCAATGGTGATTGATCTATTACAATTCAATTTTAATTCAATAATAGAAAAAGTTCATTTTACCATTTGAATCCATGTTTGTCTTGTTACATTTGCAAACACAAGAACAATTTCTAGTTTCTGACAAGGGAGGTTCGACTTTCACCATGGTTTCTATTATAAAACAAAAAAAGAAAAACAATAAATAGAAAAGGAATGATTATCTAATTTCATTTTTACCTGAACGATTTGATGCAATTGCTTGATTAACTTGTTCGAAAATACTTTGTAGTTCATCAATTGAACTATCGGGGACTTCAAGATATCGTTGTGCTAGATCAATCAAGTATTGTTCGTGTCCAATAGTAAATAGCTTTTGTTCAACAATTAGTTTAAGTGTATTTATAACTGTATTTAACTCATTATGAAGACTATCTAATTGTCGTTTATTTTGTTGTGTTATTTCAACGTGTTCAATCAAATGATTTAAACACACAAGACGTGAACAACAATGACATTCATATAATTCTTTGATTCCATCATCACATGTTGTGTCAGTACATGTACCTATTTCGGGCATTTCTGAAAAATAAAAAACAATAAAGCAAAAAATATGAACATTTTTTTTCTTTTCAATATTTAGTGAGATATGGTGGTTTTTGTCATGAACGAAATGTTTGAAATAATTGTTTAACTAACTGACTAATGAACACATACATAGGATTATTTTATTGGTTCATATGAACGAAGATGAAAGGAGAAAAAAGAATAAATAATAATCCAGAACATAATGGTATCATCGTTTGTTTTATCGAATAAAATAGTTCGACTATTGGTCAGTAGATATGGATGGCTCATCGTATGATTCCCATAACGAAATTCACTGATGGAAGTTAATTACTAAATGAAATAACCGTGAAAATTTTGTTATAATCAGAATTTTTTAAAATGAATTTTCAGATGTTGAGGAATCGTTATTGACAGCAATTAAAGAAATAAAGATTTCCATGTATTTAAGAGATGTTTCATGGCTTAGTTAAGAAATCATGTTATACAAAATATGTTAACCCATCTTGTTCATCATCAAAGATGAAAGGGCATGTTAAAGAGTGTAGAAATTCAGAATTTTAATCTTCTGTGAGTCAATTTGCAATAGATACGAAAGTAGCATTGAAAGTACCTTCAGAGAATTCTAACATAAATATCATATTATTTTGATTTTTTTTCTATTCACAGTGTAGAATTTTTTTTCTAAACTAATCACATTAAATTAAATAATACCTTAAAAGAAAGATCAAATTTTGCTCTACAACACTGGATATTTATAGCGATTTTTTGAGATGTTTGCGGTTTATGTTTTCATATATGGATGGAAGAAACACAACATAAAGAGAAGTAAAAGGATGAGCCAAGAATAGGTGGTGAGCAATACACGAACAGAGGTATTTATATATGTACTTGAAAGAAACAGAGAGAGAAAAAGAAGAACACAAAGGAGAAAATGATGATACAGAGAGCGATTACTCATAGTGATGAATGCATGACTCGTGAGCCCATCACGCATCCTACCCTCACGTGGCGAGTGCTCCTGCACAAGCACAAAAAACACACAAAATATAGGAAAAAACGGAACTGACTACTAAAAAAGCAAACTACGAACGAAAAACAAAACAAAAATGCTTTCATAAGAAAACAGCTATAAAAGGAGTAGATGTAGATCTACATAAAAGAAAAATTAGTGTCAATAATGTATATGGTAATTGATAATAAATGCATGATTATTATTCACACATGGTTCTTATGATTTGAAATAAAAATAATGATGATAGAGATGAAAAATGATGAAGTATCTTGAAAATTCAATACGTCCACGATGTTCTGTAAAATTGTCTTTTGTTTTTACTGTCCTGATCCAACAATGCTATGTCCTTCAGCTTGCGTGTACCCCATCAGAATTCTTTATCGAGTAGTATCGTTTGAGTTGATCCAACGAAGATAGAGAAGGATCGGAAGAGAAAAAAATATAACTGAGATGTGTTCTATCAAGTCTAAATCTGAAATTGAAATGTAAATAAAGAAAGTAGATAGGAACTGCATGACAAGAAAGATAAACTATGATTGGTGTGGGAGTAATAGAGCAGCATCAACTAGAAGAATTCACGTGCATCTGAGAATGGAAGAAGAATGAGAAAAAAATAAAACAGATATTGATATATTCATTGCGAAGAATATGAAATTTCGAAAGTTCTGTAACATTATTTCACAAATGCAGAGAGGAAAAGAAAAGACTTCAATTATGCAAACTTCAAAATAAACTCAATTCAATAAATTGTAATTTTCACTAAGAAAGTCTTTAGCACCACACGTCATGCGAGAGTTCATCATAAGAAGTTATATGGAACAAAGAAAAAAAAATGTCACTCATCAATATACGAGTATTATGATGTTTGGAATGGAGTACTTTTTCTCAAAATGAAGATTAGTGGTATATCCTCCTCAGCAAATCGTATCAAGATTACTGATTGTCTATATAACCATTGCGTCTTATAGGTAGAGGAATACGCCAGATCTACTAGAAGTATGAAAAGAGTTGGGCTTGACATAAGACAGAACACTTAATAGAAAGTTCCTTTTTGAAGATAAGAAAGAAAAAAGTTCAAGAGTAGCAAAAGTATGTAGTATAGACGAGATGGAATCAGCTGAGTAAGTTTGATGAGAGTGCTAGAAATTCATAGCGTTCGATTGGTGTAATCGCCACGTATAACGGTGTTTTAGGTTGTTTGTGGTTTATGTTTTCGTATACTGATGGAAGAAACACAACATAAAGAGGAGGAACAAGAAGAGAAGTAAAAGGATGAGCCAAGAATAGGTGGTAAGCAATATATGAACAGAAGTATTTATATGTGTACTCGAAAGAAAGAGAGAGTGAAAAAGAAGAATACAAAGGAGAAAATGATGATACAGAGAGCGATTGCTCACAGCGATGAATGTATGACCGGTAAATCTGTCACACAACTGAAATAGTAAGGCACTCATATACCTTTATCCTACTACAATAAGAAAACTACAGCTAAATGTTCAATATTGAGCAAAGTACATTGAACATCAAGAAGATTTATTTTTCTTGCCAAATCAAAAACTTAAAGAAAATAGTTGGTGCCATATTCAATACGCTGTTCCATTCATCGAGCACACCATCTTTATTAGCAATATTCACTGACTACCTCATAATTTATTCTAATAAATTTTTTTCATCAAACAACGATAAAATTCGCCTCCAATTTCATTGTTATTGAGATTGAGTGTTCTCAGTGTCTATCTGTAAACATGCAAATTTGGATATGATAGAGATGAAGAGAGAATGAAAATCACCCGATTATTTCGTTATCGATGAGCCAGATTTAATACTCGACGTTCTCCGACTTGCCGGCTGAATACATATAGTGTAGTGAGTGTCTATATAAAAAAATGCAGAAGGAGAAATTAGACCGGTGAAGAGAGAATGATGGTCACCGTATTAATTTGTAATACTTCAGCGAAATGTCGTAAATCGACAGCTCCCACTTGATTCTCGCCCAGATCGAGTGTGCTTAGGATTTGTGTAAAAAAGTGCACAAGCGGATATGTAAGACACGAAGTGAGAATGAAAATCACCGTGTTATATAGTATTGCATCAGCTAGATGTACTACTCTTATTTTTTCAGTTGTATTCTGTATGAGATTGAGTGTAATTAGTAGAGCCCATCGAATCCAAAAATTTCTGAACCTGAACCCGAACTCAATCAATTTAATATTTTTGGATCTGGATTCAGACCTAGACCCGATCGTTCATAATTTTTGGGCCCAGGACTGATTGAATAAATTTTTGTAGATTCTGACTCGAATCGTGCCCTTAAAACTATTAATAAAATATTTTAATCCTTATTCGACTAGGTGTACACGATAACCAGAAAATGATTTCTAGGTGTGGGACCAAATCCTTAGTGTTTGGATTTGGATTGGGTGTGGGTGTGGGTGAAGAGAAGACGCACACCCACACCCTCATTATTAAGTTCAAGTGAATACATAATATAACTCTAAAGAAATAAAATTATTCTATCTATTCAGCTAAACTTATCATTCCAATGTTGAATTAAGATAAATCTTAAGAAAAAAAGAGAGAATCACTTGTAATAATTCCTTTTTGCTTAAGATTTATTTTAATTCGAGAACACAATAGTAACTTCAGATTGATGAATAAAATAATTTTTTTGCTTTAGAATTATTTTATGCATGAAGTTGAACTTAATACTGAATTGTTGGATTAAGATAAATCTTAAGAGAAAAGAGAATCACTTATAACGATTCCTTTTTTCTTAGGATTTATCTTAATCCAACATTGTAATGATGCGTTTAGCTGAAAGCATAAAATAATTTTATTTCTTTGGAACTGTTTTATGTATTCACTTGAACTTAATAACAACTTGTTGGATGGAGATATTTCTAAAGAAAAACGAAAATCATTTCATGAAATGATTCTTGTTTCTTTGTCTATATCGTAATTCAACAATATTATGGTATGTTCAGTTGAATGAATAAAATAGTTTTTCACTAGAATTATTTGAAAAATTTAGTTGAACTCACCATTATAGTGTTGAAGTAAGATAGATGTAAAGAAAGAAGAGAATCGTTTCATAAAATGGTTCTCTTCTTTCTTTAGGTATCTCTCAATGAAACAATTTAATGGTAAGTTCAGCTCATTATTTAAAATAATTCTTAAGGAAAAAAATTATTTTATTCATTGACCTGAGGTAACCATTGTATTATTGAATTAAGATAGACCGAAAGATAAAAGAGAATCAGTTCATAAAATGATTTTCTTTTTTTTTTCACATTTATTTTAATCCAGCTATGCAATGATGAGTTCATCTCAACATATAAAATAACTTTCTATCTTTAGAATTATATTATATATTGATTTGAATGTGCTATTAGATTTTTCGATTAAGATAAGTCTAACCAAAATAAAAGTCATTTTATAAAGCAACATTTTTTTCTTTAAACTTCTTTTAAATCGATAATGTAGTTGTACGTTCAACTCAAGATATACAATAGTTCTAAAGATAAAAAATTATTTTTTTGTTAGATTCAATTTACCATTACATTGTTAAATTACGAGAACCTTAAAGACAAAAGATTTTTATTATAAAATGGCTTTTTTTTTTCTTTAGACCTATCTTAATTCAGCAATGTGATGGTAAGTTTAACTGTACGATTAATCGTTTCCTATACCTTTCCAAAGGGTATATGAGGGGATGTTTGAGTCTCAGAAATCCTTATAAGGGTTTATGGAAATACAACGTATAATAAACCCTTTAAGGGTTTGTGAAAATCAGATACCCTTTAATATACCCTTCCGAAGGATTTATGAAAGACTTTTTGATTTTCACATACGGCAAAAAGGGTTTATTATACATTCCACTTTCACCAACTCTGAAAGTGTTTATTAATCTACCCTTTTTTTACAGTGTGTGATGCGAAAACGTTCGACGAATTTTACAAATATATCAACCTTGTTTTCTTCTTGAACAGTATTGCAGG